TGTGTCTCACCGATGTAAAATGGGGTAATTAATGGGAAGACGTTCACGTCACTCCGGCGTTCGGTGTCGCTATGTAACGTTGTTTACAATTGTAACAAGCGCGATCGAATCGTTCGCGAACGGCACGTGGCACGAAAACCGTCTCGCGTGAACACCGTACCGAAGCGTCTTGCCAACTGAAGTGCAAGCGAATAGGTACAAATATTTATGCACGCTCTGTTACACGCATTCCTCGCACAGTTGTGCAGTATCGATCAAGGTAATGCGGTTTACTTTGATTCTGATGGCTTCTACTATTTTCTACCGATAACAATTGGACCTTTACAGTTGTCTGAATCCTGCCACTGAATCTTTACCGTCACTCTCAGTTGGAAACTTCCTCCATGATAAATCTCGTTGGGAAATCATTCGCTCGAGATGATTCCCGTTACTTTATTTCAAGGCAAAGACCCATTAAGCCAAGAATGTATCTCGAGTGAAAGTTGAGTGTATATTTGTCTGTTTGCACTACGGAGATGAACTGTCAGCACCATCTTTTGAGAACACGGTGAACCACTTGCCAGATGGCATAGACTTAAAATACGTATTCTAAATTGAATGGACAGCGGGATATTTGAATTAGGAGTATGGAATATTTTGAACTTATTTCGGAAATATTTTCAGGTTTCTATATTTTTAATGACTTTCTACAGTGGAATATAGACGCGAGGATCAACCCTTTGCGAATGTCGACATTTCGGCGAGATGGAATTTTCATATTTGGAAGACTAAGTCGTAAGCAAGTGATTTAACAATATTTCTACCGAAGGTGTCAAATGGCACCTGAAATTTTATATTAAAATTATTTTCCGAATTTAGTCGTACATTCTGAATTGACTTCTCGCCTTTTCCAATGACGATTGTAAAATGAAATACAGGAAATGTCCAAAATTCAATTGGGGAGAAATTATTAAACTGAGAGAATAATTTTAAGTTAAAACTTCAGTAGAAATAGTGTTAATTACTCGAATAGCAAGAGATCAGCACGTAGTTTACTATTTTTCTATTATTCAAGTAATCGATATACAATTTAGCTTCATCTATTGAGGATTTTGTATATTTCAGAGAATCTTCATCTGCAAAGGGTTAATGATAATTTTTCGAAGAACATGTATGAATGTATATTTGGTGGACCTGTTTCGTCGGATTCATCCTAGTGACTTTTCTCTTTGAGGACAACCTGTACATGTTCGACATAATGTTGGCAAGAGAGTCGGGGAATTTTCAAGGTTTCTTAACTCATACGTTTCCCCAGACTCCATTTATGTATCGCTTTTTTTTTATCAAGATTCAGATAGCACAATAGCATATTCAATTTAAGAAACATGTAATAACGTTATTCAACTGTTGATTAAATAAAAGGGAATACTGAATTTTTATTAAAAGATGGTGTTTTAACGAATAAAGAAAATATTGTCTATCTATGGAACCTTAGATATTAAACAGTTCTCCGTGATCGATTTCATTATAAAAAAAAAGTTTATTATTCGTAGCTGAGGTGGCGCGTGGTACATACATGAGGTTTCCGACTACAACAAGTCCTATAATTTCACGCAATACTATGTACAGACATGGTTCGTGTTGCAATTATTAATATCTAGTATTAATTAACATCAAGTCAACGTTATGGCTAAATTATTACCCATTACACTATGATCTATGATTAATGCTCACGTTGTCACGCGGTCCTTTCTGTAAATCGTTTCGCGCGTCCCTGCATAAGATGCGGTCCCCGTCAATCAGATCTCGCGGGAAATTTACTTTCGGCCGACGTGCCAGTCGATTGTCGCATTCTCCGCGAAACGCCTAACGCTCGAATGGCTTCACGGATTGTCCAGGGACGTTTCAGCGATCGGCGAAACTACACTTACAGTTACGTACACGCGCGCGCGCAAAGAAC